CAATACAAAATTTGAATGTTTCGGTCATTTACTTTAATTAATAATCAATAAAGACTTAATTTCATGATCCTTACGGCATTAAAAAAACCAAAATCTGCTCATGATCTTCTAATTCGGACTTTGGCCGGTCGTCCCTAGCCAGATGATCTTCTAATTAAGACTTTGGCCGAAATCAAGCAGAGTTTCGGACTTTGACCGACCTATGGGAGGCGATATTGGCCAATGCGCGGATTGGCCGGCCAATCCTAGCATTGGCCGACTTCGGGCTTTGACCGTAACATATATATATATATATATATATATATATATATATATATATATATATATATATATATATATATATATATATATATATATATATATATATATATATATGAATCGTTCTCTGTTTAGCTGCACATAGTTCATCGCCAGAACAGTTCCAACTCATTTAGAAATGCAGCTTCTTACCCATCAGGTCTAGCTGTAATAGGATTCTTTTTTAAGGTACCCCTGATATCAAGATTTTAAAATCTTAAACATTGAGGGAATCGAGGTGTGGTTTTACGCTTTCATATTGTTACACGTAGTAGATATTTTCTAGTACTACATGAATATGGCACTAAATAAAACATTTTAAAAAGTGAACATATGCGGTTTAGCCCGTGTTAACTTCAAATATTTCCTTTTTAAATCAAAGAATAAATATATACATGTAAAATATAATTCTTGATGTTATGAAAATTTACATTTAAGCACTAAAGTCTTTACATTTTAAATGGAAATAAAATAAATAAGTAATAAAAATTGTATAACTGTAGACCGCCCCCCTTCCCGTATACATCGTATCTATTTCTCTACTGCTAGCTGTCAGTTTTCCTTTTATTTACTTTTTATTGCAACCAGGTTGTGGCAGAAGATAACGAGAAGTTGAACAGGCATCTTTTACGATTTTTATCCATGGTTATCCATACGGGTAATAATGTGACTTGTGAAACTTTATTATGATTATTATGAGTTATGATTGAAATAGATTTATAACACTAATTAATTAAATACTTTGCAAATTTCGGCCAAACACATTATTGGTTTCCAAAGCAAAGACAAAAATTCAATTTATATTATGTTTGTAGGTTGTTGTTTTAAAATAAGATAAATCTAAACACAAACACTTGATCAATCAAACTTAACATTCATTTGCAAAATCGTAAAAACAAACCAGTGGCCAGTCAATCTAAAAGCTAATGGATACTAAAGTAAAATTCTTTCTGAATCTGACGGTCATGGGGCTAAAGTGAACAGGAGTTTACCTGTTTCTGTGATCTCAGCCGCCTTTACTGGGTGAACTAACAGACGCTCTAGGGACTTGAACCAGGATTAGAACTCGCGACTTAGCAGTTGTATGCACAATTAATTGATAATAAATATTTAAAATTTCTTTCTTCTTTGCTCGAAAAGTCTTACTGTACTAGACTTTCAAAAAAAAAATATTTCGACCTTTTCTTGCATTATTTTCTTTTTTTTTAACAGACCAGATGGCTCACATTCCGACCTTCGCCTTGTCTGAGATCCTGCCCGACATAAGCAATCTGGACTACTACCGTTTCGACGGCAGTCTGACCTTTCCCCCTTGTCATGAGTCGGTCATCTGGTCAGTGGCCACAGAGTTTATTCCCATCTCAAAATCTCAGGTCAGTAGGTGGGTGAGGAAGGTCAAGGTTGCTGTGTGGGTTCTGAGATGTACATTCTACAATGTTGTTTTCTAAAAGTTGGACTAAGCTTGTTGAAAATAGAGCCCCTATGCCACTTTTGTCTGAGATATATATATTCTACAATGTTTTCTAAAATTTCGAATGAGCTTGTTGAAAAATAGAGCCGCTATGCCTCTTTTGTCTGAAATATATATTCTACAATCTTTTCTAATGGTTTGACTGAGCTTGTTGGAAAAAAAGAGACCCGAGACAGTTTTTTTTCTATTATTTTATTATAGTTCTATATTACCTTT